TTTTATTCCATGCTTCCTAAGTCAAAATTGTCAAACTTTCCGTTAGAACGTTGCACTATGGGCAAAAATGGGTCCAAAATTACCCAAAATTCAATATCTCAACAGCACGCTGAATTCCGGCCATGAAAAACAACTTTTCCGAAGGGAAATTGTCCGGGGAATCGATTGCACGTGGTCCCATAGACCGGAGAGCCTTGCAGGTATGTGTTTTGGACAATTTTACCCCATTTTCCCCTACTTTTTGGAGGAAATGTTTTTCCACAGCTCTATTTTTCGTAAAACATAAGCACTTTATGCATGGTTTTAGAATACTATGTCTTTAAACAACAGTTCATGAGATATTAGGGGAATACGTGGTACACTGTATAGGGGAGTAAATCGTGCAATCGATTCCCCGGACGATTTCCCTTCGGAAAAGTCGTTTTTCATGGCCGGAATTTAGCGTGCTGTTGAGATATTGAATTTTGGGTAATTTTGGACCCATTTTTGCCCATAGTGCGTTGGTTAGTATTTTGATTTCTACCCGCTGCAATGGCAGCATAGGTAGCTCCATTAACTCGCTGAACATTGTTAGCAGCGATGGGAGTAGGTACAGATGAAAAATTTGAAGCAGGGGTGATATTTGTACCTACGGGTACGAATGTAGAATTTGTTCCTCGCTGACCGTTGTTAACAGCAGAGGAATTTGTACCTGGTCGGAAACGTGGAACGTTTCCTACCTGACGGTTAGAACGAGATTGTAGGATCGTTTTGCGAGTTTTACATTCCCAAAAATTGGATTTGTGGTGTTCACCACAATTTGAACATTTAAATTTCTTAGGATCTTTTTTCACAGGACAGTCGTCCTTTGCGTGAGAGGAATCACCACAATTCATGCATTTAGCTGGCATGTAGCAATTTTTAGATCCGTGACCCCATCCCTGGCACTTACGGCACTGAGTGAGGTTTTGGAAATTTCCTCCAGTCTTCCTGAAGTGTTCCCACTTCACTCGGACATGGAGCATAAGGCTAGCTTTTTCTAAGGCCTTAAGGTTGTTTAGTTCACTAGACTTGAAGTGAACTAAATAAAAATCATTAGAAATACCGTTGCGCGAATCGCCAGGACGGGATTTCATTTTCATTTTGATTACTTGGAGTGGCACAACTCCAAGTAATTTTGCCAGTTCATCTTTGATCTGATCCAGGGATTCACCACTGGGCAGTCTTTTCATGACAACCTTGAACACACGTTCAGTTTTGGTGTCGTAAGTAAAAAATTTGTGCTTCTTCTCAGTAAGATACTTGAGAAGACATTTAAATCCGTCCAAGGTTTCAGCCAATACACGGCATTCACCCCGACGTCCAATTTGTAGTGAAAACAAAATTCTATGCGAAGAGCATGGAAATCAGAAGTGGTTATCACAATAGGCGAAATCTTTTCCTTATTGGCAATAAACCGGGAAAGTTTACTAGAATTTTTCTTGGATGATGGATCATTCTCATCATCCGTGAGCAAGTCAAATTGATTACTCAAATTAATTTCATCAGAAGGGGGGTCAAGAGTTTGCCCCTTTCTTTTGCGTTTAGGCGCCATGGCGGCAGTAAATTTTTATCCAAATCGACTTCCAAGCAGATTACTATAATAATCTGAAGGATCGAAGAGGAATTTTCCAAATCGATATCCAAGAAGGATTATCTCGGGTAGGGTCCAAACAAGGATCGAAGAGGAATAAGAGTTGAACAAGGTAGAATTTTTTTTACAGGTTGAGCACTGAAAAGTGCTGTTTAAATTTGTTGTAGCTTTTGGTAGTAGTTACACCAACAATCAATACGAAACTAACGATTTTAAATTGGCTCACTGCTTGACTAGCCTATTGGTCCCAAGCAAATCGATTAACGTATCCCATTCTAGTCAAAATTCTAGTACTACACAATGTTTGTTTTGATTCGCTATGAAAGTTTGACAGATAAAATGAGGGGTTATTGGATTTTCCTATGTTTCGAGGGGTGATTCGACTAGCTTGGGACCGAAGATAGTACCAGAGGTGAGCCAAAAAGTTGAGCACGTTTCTTCGGGACCTACTAGTCTTAGAGTTACCTCTATGGTAACACTTCCTTCAGCAAAAAGCAAATAGATCCGCATGGCCTCCAACCGACTTCGTTCGACCGCCTGTTGGTCTATGACCAGAACGTTAGTGGCCTGCGAACAAAGATTGATGATTTTTTTTTCTGACTGTCGTTGACTCTGACTACGATGTCATAGTTCTTACGGAAACCTGGCTCGATGACCGCATTAATTCGTCTCAATTATTTGGCGCCTAAATTCCTGCCTCGATCCTGCTCCAGTTTGCACTTCTCTAGAGCAGCTGTGGGTCAAAATAACGACGCCTCGTAGACCAATAAGTATTGGCGCTATGTATCTACCTCCAGACCGGAAATCTGATTCGAGCAGCATTGCAAACCACATCAGTTCGATTGGTGCCGTGTTCTCTCGACTAGAACAAAACGATCTAGCTCTGGTATTTGGTGACCACAAGCAGTCTGGGCTCTCATGGAACGTTCCTGAAAACGATCTTCCTAGCATTGATGTTCTTCGCTCGAACATGCCTGCATCCTGCTGTGCTCTCCTTGATGGTTTCAACCTGCATGGCTTAACGCAAATCAACTCGATACTGAATAGCAACTCTCGGCTGCTTGATCTCGTTCTGGCGAACGAAGCTGCAGGACTGGAATGTTCTATCCTAAAAGCCCCAGAGCCTTTGATTGGCATCGACACCAATCATCCTGCGTTGAAAGTTTCCATCAACCTTTCTGTTCCTGTTCGCTACAATAACCCCCTGTTGATGTACATGAGCTCGACTTTCGTAGAGCAGATTTCGTCGCGCTTAGTCACTTGCTTGCCCAGGCAGATTGGCAGTTCCTTGACACGTGTTCATCTATTCATGAAGCCGTCAACTACTTCGCTGAGGTCGTTGGCCAGGCAATAACTGATTCTGTCCCACTGAGGAGACCCTCTCCCAAACCCGCATGGTCCAATGCTCGACTACGGAATTTGAAGCGTCTGAGATCAAAGGCCCTCCGTAAATACTGTCGTACTCGTAACCCATTCACCAAACGATTATTTTCAACAGCGAGCAACGAATATCGCACATATAACCGCATTCTTTACAAGAGCTACACAAGGCGTGTGCAGGCTAATTTACGGCTTAATCCAAAGCAGTTCTGGTCATTCGTGAATACCAAACGAAACGAGGAGGGGCTACCAGTCGAAATTCACCTGGGTGATAGAATCGCCAGCAATTCCCTTGAGAAATGTAATCTTCTGGCAGAACATTTCAAAAGCATTTTCAATGACACTACGGCTTCGTTGCCCCAAGTTGCTGAAGCGGTGAGGGACACTCCCAGTGATGCTTTCAATTTTTTCGATTACCTCGGTTACAGTAGACCTCGTCGAATCCGCCATCAAAAAGCTGACATTTTCTAATGCTGCTGGCCCTGACGGGATCCCCTCAAGCATCCTGAAGGGATGCTGTTCAGAGCTTACAACACCGCTTTCGAAGCTGTTTCAATATTTCATTACAGCAGGGGGAGTTCCCTACGTGTTGGAAATCGTCATTCATGTCCCCGATCTACAAGAAAGGAGACGAAGGTTGCAAATACTCATTTCAGCTAAAACAATGTTTTTTTTTTAAATTAATAATTAGATGCTATGATCATATCTTGAATAGGTAAGATACAAGAAGAGGTTGCAAAGAATGTGTTTTGACACTTTAAACCTGTTTATTTCACTTCATGAGAGTCACAATCAGCGATTTTTCACACACTCACTCACTCACTCAGCGATCAGCAAATCGCTGATTGTGACTCATAGAAAGCAACATTTACAGGCTTCATGTTTCTAACGCATATTGTGTAACCTCTTCTTGTAAGTTACAAGTAAAACATGTCATCATACCATCTGTTGGTTTTATTATTCCGTAAAACATTATTTTAGCTGAAATGAGTATTTCAAGACCAACAATTGAAAAGGCCTTAACTCCATTTTGTAAACAAACCTTGTAAGGCCATTTTCTCGCGAACCAAAGTCCGCAAAGGGAAACCAACATAATGAACAGGTAGGGGAAATTCTCCTCTACCCGATTGTGGTTCAGGTTTGCGAATGAAGGTTTAGGTTCGCGAGAAAATGGGCTTACAAGGTTTGTTTACAAAATTGAGTTAAGGCCATTTCAATTGTTGGTCTTGATTTGCAACCTTGAAGGAGACAAGAGAAACGTCGAAAATTACCGAGGGATCACATCACTCAGTGCCTGCTCTAAAGGTTTCGAAATCATCATCAACGACGCATTATTCTCTAGCTGCAGAAATTACATTGCTCCTGACCAACACGGTTTTTATCCCAAGAGATCAGTTTCAACAAATCTAGCTCCGTTCATTTCTTTATGTCTTCGGAGTATGGAAGCTGGAGCGCAGGTGGACGTTGTATATACAGATCTTAAGGCTGCATTCGACCGGGTTGACCACTCCATACTGCTAGCTAAACTTGAAAAACTCGGTGTATCCTCGGCTTTAACTCGTTGGTTCAAGTCCTATCTGACCAATCGGGAACTTTGTGTTAGAATCGGATCAGAGCAATCGGATTATTTTACAAACAGCAACTTGGGCCGGCACGGAATCAGGACACACTTTTCGCTCGAACTTGAGAATCCAACGATCCGAGTACTCCTCGCTCTCGTTGTTTGAAGACCGGTAACGCATCCTTCGCGCCGCGTTCCAAAGCGTATTATTTGACGTTTCGCACGATAATCCGTCCACGAATTGCCTCCAGTATCCGCGTTTCTTGGCTTTTAGCTCTGTACTTATGATTGAGCAAATACAAAAAAATTGAACCAGAATCGTTTTCTTGTGTGATCAAATACCATGAAACTGACACTCCGTATCCCCTACGAATCGCTACTCTCCAAACTCCAGCAATTAACCTCAAAAACTAATAATCCCAATGCTAATGTTGTCATTTTTTTCAGGAAATAACTCCTAGTTAGCGTTTGATACGAACGACCGCGAAAGAAAAAAGAAAAAACTCACAGAAAGAAGCTGTCTCCGATATCGAACCTGGACCGAAAGAGACAAAAAATCTACTTTGCTCGAATTAATTAAGTGGAAACAGCCGGTTGTGGTACCTAATTCAGTGTTTCGCAGTCAGTGTGTGAAAATTTGTGGAACGGACTAAAAATAGTGCCATCCGCATACCGACTATATTTACAAGTCGCCAGCGTCAACTCCACTGCCGAGAGTGAGGGTGGCCGACGGCACAGTGAAAGGTGTGAATCTTCACAAGGCACTCGGCGGGAGTGAGTGCAGCACCATAATTTTGAAATTATGAAAATTAGTACGCGTCCCCCTGCCGGTGGAATTAATTGGTGCATTCTGGTTGTGTGTTGAAAGTGAGCATATTGTTTGAATTGTTTGGTTGGAAGATAAATACGATCAACGAGTGTTGCCGGAAAATTTGAATTACAAAGTACGAGATTGTGGGGAAGCAAGTTGAAACTGAAGATATTTGCCCGAACAGTGACGACTGGAGCCAACTGGAGTAGTGCCTGCAGAATAAGTGGTTGACAAAAGTTGCGCTCAGTTTCAAATTGCAAGGTAAGATTTTGGTTTATTTTTTTTACTACAAATAGCTCAATCACATGTCCAGCCGGTTCAGGGAGATAATAAAATCTTGAACCGGTTTCCATGCGGCACGTTTATGCATACAATCGGTTTGAAAAAAAAATAAAAACAGAAAACAGAGGCCTCGGTAGGCGATCTTCTGCAGGTATGGGATCCTTGGCCAAATATGGCCTTATTCAACTTTCGCAAGACGCGTAGATATTCAACGGATGCGAAGGAAGAGAAGCTGTGCCGTCGGATTGTTTTGATTATTGCACAGTGGGTTGGACGCGAGAACGTATTTATTACCCTTGCGTCCTCTTTTTTTGTCGGCAAAAAAAAAACGAAAGCGACGATCAAATTTTATTAGACCATTATAAAATTTGCATAGAATGGTACCTTCTCCGAATTGCGAATGGAGGTCTTGGGTCAGAAGAGGAATGCAGTGAAATAATCTATTTGACATAATCGTTAATGGTTGATGAGAATTGCTATAGTTGCGGCAGCTATGTATAGTCTTTGAAAGCAGCTGAGTTTTGATTGTTTTTTTCAATTAAGAATTGCTTATATGTTATCCTAACTTAACTTAATCAAGGTCTGTCAAGTGACGAGAAACTTCTTCTGAATGATCGATGGTATTTATTTAGTATCACTTCTGCTGAGAAGTAATGTAAATTCCAAATTGCAACAAATTAGAGAACGGGTCGGACAATATTGTACATATGATTGAAAATCATGGTAGTTGGATGCATAGGTGATTAATACATGCAGATTCTCTACAAAAACGCCTTATAAGTGACACAGGAATCGTGGAATTTTAATATTAGGAAGGGTATGCTAAGCGCTACAAATTTTGCAAGCAGACAGGTCTGGAATTTAACCCATGACCTTCTACTCGTTGAGAAGACACTCGGCGCATTGAACTGAACCTCCCAATCCGAAATCCCAACACTGAACGAAAACATCTGCACTACTTCGAATGATTATTGCATTGCTCGAGCCCTTTAACAATATGCTTTCGAATTTCGGATGATTGCCTTATGGTTGAATTCTTCATCAGCTGATGAGAATCCATATGACTGTCCTCCATGATGATGATTTCAAATTTTGCTGTACAACTTACAGTGCTCAGATGACAACAATTTAAGAAAAGGATAACTTGCAAATGTTTTAAATTAGATTTATAATTCGATTGTTTACATTTCCATATTGAAAAAAGCCATTCCAACTTGGATACAAAAATCGTTTGTTGGTAGAGGAAACTTACTCCACCACGAAATAGACTGAAGGGTTTTTTCCACGCTTTACCAATGATTTGCGTTATGGAGCTGAACCAATACCATATGCATTTCAATTTCAATCATTCTAAAGAGAGCATTACGTATTTCATTTTTTTTTCCTTGGATTTGTTTTCCGTCGATCTTGTTTTCCGTGCTGAGCACCAATGCTACCGACGCCAGGAAAGCAGCTCCCACACCAACTCATGAACCGGGGACCAACGGCTTTACTTTCCTTCCGAAGGAAGGCGTGATCAGAGATGGTATGCCTCAGAACATCCCAGCGGCGCCGACTGGGATTGAACCCAGGCCTGCTGGGGTGAGAGGTAATCACGCTTACCACTACACCACCGGCGCCACTACGTACGTATTTCAATTGATGTCCGTTAGCTTCTCGTATCAATTTTCATCATGTATTCGAGAGGAGCGTAATCTGATTACAAAAAAAAAACCGTCATTCGGTTGCAGCTATCATTCGAAAAAGCAATTTCGAAATTTCGGTTCGAATGGTCTGAGATTTCATTCGAACAGAGGATTATGTTTTGGTACAATGTAAGAGGCGGCACATATAAATACCGATGCACTATGGGCCTGGAATGCAATCTAGCGGAACAAAATTAATAATTTCAAAACGAAGCATTTGAGTAAAGCCTGATTAAATGTAAATTGGAACGCCCCTCGTGCGCCGCTAGCACGCCTCTAGGGTTGAGAGTCAAAAATCTTTAACAGTGGTTTGTTCCCGACCAGAAGGAAGTATCAGAAATAATACACACTGTGTTACTGAGATATAACATTATTCGTAACATGGTCTGTTATAAAACATGTACCGTTAGTAGTTAAAATAACAAAAAATATAACAAGAAATCTTCTACGTACCATCAAGAATATAACAACTATTGTTAGGGGTATATCATATTTTTAACACACCTTGTTACAAAATAACCCATTAGGGTAAAAACTAAAAAGGGTATGAACTGGACTTTTTAACACGGTTTTTGGGTAACATATTTTTTGAGTGTTTTCTATTTTTAGATTGTTGTTCAAATATTTAAAAAATCATCTGCTAATTTATGTTTTTGGATTCCGTTCATGAGCGAATATATCATTGGTTTACACTATTATTGCGCAATCGTTCCTCACTAGATAGTTAAAATCTAGGTAAGCCTTTTGATCAGAAGCGTCTTGCAGTGACAATCAGGGATGGAAAATCATTTACATTCATTTCGTGCATTCATTTTCATTCATTTGCCTCTAACTTTTGTCATCAACAGAATACCGTGGAATGATGTATGAAGCTTTTGTAGCTTTTGATATTAACAACAACTTTTGGAAATAACTAAAATCTGAATCTCTTATACATGACGAACTAGAGCTGGCAGAACATGTTATTGTTTTTCAGTGAATGCAATTTACATTCACTGAAAAACAATGGTGGGTTCTTATCGTTCTGATTCATCATGCATAAGAGATACTGATTTGAGTTGTTTACAAAAGGTGTAGCTAATATCAAAGCCTACAAAAGCTTCAAACACAATTTTACGGAATTCTGTTTGTGAAAAAAGTTAGAGGCAAATGAATGTAAATGAATGCACGAAATGAATGTAAATGATTTTCCATCCCTGGTGACAATTTCAATTTTATAATGCTAGTTGTGCATTCTTAATCACCAACGTAACATTTTCAGGTATTACGGAATCAATATATAGTAGCCTTGTCGCTTTGGGCTAGGTAGTTTGATTCGACTAGCGAAATGAGGCCCCTGGATTTCCATAGAGTTAGGGAGAATCAAGTTAAGGAGAGATCGAGTAAGGGAGATTTGACTGTAATAATTTATTTAATTCTTAGCATCCCAATCAGAAGAGAATGCTGTAAAAAATAGGAGAAAAAGCACTAACTTTGGCCTATAGACCTAATAAAAATCTCCGGTTCTTAAATTTTTCGTAGAACAATGCATCATCTGGACAATACAAATGAATATTTTTGATTTTTAGTTTATCATTATCAAAAAAATTCTTGCCTTCGAAATTTATCTATGGGCCCAATATTAGGAAAACTTAGCTGACATTAGGGACATTAACTCTATTATCCCAATTCCATGTGAAAAACTTTTCCGTAGCTCTTAAATAAATTTAAATCCGGCTTAAGACTAAAACAAATCAAAAATTAAAATAAAACAAACCGTTTCATTTTTCGTGCTACTAATGCTAACAAACTTAGTTAAAATGTTGTTTTAAATTTTATTCTGACAAATTGTGTAACAATTTTACATCAAATACCATGATGATTTTTTATTCCTCATTTCACCACAGAGCTCTTAAAACAAGATTATATCAACGGTTATTATGTATAACAGAAGTTGATATAATCATGATATAATTTTGTTATAATGTTCTGGTCGGGTTTACACTTCTATATAGAACAATTGATTAAAGTAATCGATCGCGTTCAAAAATAACATCAAATGGAACTCGAAAGAAGAAAAAATGTTGTTCACAAACACCTGGAAAATCCGGAGTGGTCCGGTTCCAAGCTGGCTTAGATGCCGAAAACAGCAGTTTCCCAAGTAACCAAAAGTTCCGATAAAAGGTTATTTGTGGCTTAAGCAGCTTGGTTGAAGGTGGTCTATAGAATTCTAAGCAGCCTTATTTTTAAGTCGTTATAAGAACTTGAAAGTTCCGGTATCATAATTGAAGACCATTCTAAGCAGCTTTTGTCGGAACTTGAACGGAGCTTTTAGATAATAAATTAAAAAAGGTTTTTGTCCTCTACACCAATTCTATGTTTAGTTCGCACTTTTATGAAAGTTATTTCTAAAGGCAGGTATTGATGTGTATTGTTGTTTCAGCATTAGTAGTAAAATTGGGGCAGTTCTTCTGCGTGAGATCCCCAGCACGAACCGCTACGTCATCTGAGATATATTAAAGTGAGCTTTTCTCCCGCCTACTGTTGGAGTTTTCAGTGCGAGCTGACTTGAATATGAAACACAACACCTTGATGAATTTTAAATTGGTGTTTGCTCGCATGGTAATCCAACACACTTGTGGCGCAGTGGTTAGGAATCTTAGATCGCATGCCAAATACACGGGTTCGAATCCAGGAAATTACTCTTTAATTTTTTATGTTTGGATAGAATGATGCACTGCATAAATATAAGAATTATGATTTATTCGGGCCACTGACCATTTCATATTTACGTACATTAAATTTTGTTACTAATAAAGACTTGTGCGGATTGCTTGATGTGGCTTAAAAGTTCTTTATGGAACTGTATGAAACTTGAAAGTTCTGTCAGAACATTATTTGAACTTTGTGGAACTTGAAAGTTCCATCGGAACTTTATTTGAACTTTACGGAACTTGTCAGTGATTTTAATCGTTGAATGCGGAACTTTTGGTTACTTGGGTTGTCGAGTGCTCAAAACCTACAAGGAAACCCTGAGTGTGGAAAGGAATCAGCGGACCTACGAAAAAACTGGAACCGTCAGCTGCGCAGCTAGGTGTTGAGGTGCGGCAAAGCCAACCCCGGTCTCTCGATCCGAGATGTGACCAGAAGGTACAACGCCAACTTTCAAACGGTGCGGAACATCCTTGCCAGGGAAGGATACAAGTCGTACAAAGCCAGTAAACATCCGAACCGACGCATGAAGCAGAATTTCGTGGCCAAAAAGCGTGCAAGGCTTTTGTACGACCGTGTTTTGACGAAACACAAGGGCTGCAG